GAGTGTGCGGAGAGAGGTAGTATCATGCATTTATAACATCAATTAAAATCTACGAAATTCATAAAGTTGTTGTTAGTGAATGAACATTATAATCGTTGGAGTTCGTAGTAGATTGTGAAGTCATCAGGTTGCAAATTCGAGGGAATAATGCAGTCGCATCCCTCTTACATGAATTGGCGAATAGGTGGTATCCACATTTTGAACATGAAAACGATTTGATTTTACCCGTGAAAATTATTGATTTTTCGTAATACGGGTAGAGCTACATTAGTTGGTATATTTGTAGTGATAAATGATGTTGCTAGGAGTTGTGAAGTGTACGCCTTGGAAGATACGATGCTCTTTTCTGAGCGACTCATGGAGTAACCTCTCACTGCAGAAATATAATTACAGTCTTAGACTATAAGCGCTGTTATTATTAGAAGCTTCTCACACCTACGGCAAATTTTACGTCTAGCAACATCCCCGTATTGTATTCAGGTATAAAGCAACGACTAGGTTTCAGAGACGAACAGGACAGACTTAATCTGTGGATAGCATATCTCAATTTAGAAGCGCATGTGAGAGGTGTAGCAGCAAAGGGTAATAGAAGTGTATTGTTTTAGATATGTGTTGAGGGGGGACGGAAAAAAGATGCCCTGAAGAGAGTTGAGGATCTCTTTAAGAGAGCTGCTAGCTATAATGACTCGAAGAAAGTGTAATAATGGCAAGGGGGTGAGGGAGTGATGAATGATGTGTGATCTAATATTGTTTGAATTGTTCGTGAAAGAGTGGTATCAAAAGTTGGGAAAATAGAAATTATACATGAGAGAATGTACAATGGGTTATTATTATGAGAGAGTGAGCTTAATGGAATGGAATAGGCTATGAAATCCGTCATTTTGTGAATCTATATATGATTATTTGAAATTCTCCAGTAGGAGTCTAAAACGCCCAGAAGAAATTTTAATTACATGGATGATTTCACCTCGTCTGTCTTCTCCTTGGTCACTCTCAATTGAGTAATTCTGTCTGCTCTCAGTCACATGGCAATGTGTGATGTATGGGCGAGAGCTGGCGCGGAAGATCTCGCACTAGAGGCCTACAAACGGACGGCTGAGAAATTTGGGCATTCTAAGAAAGTGTGGATGAAGTATCTTGAGTAAGTGTTAGGTTTTTTGTACCTGTTTTGAATCTATATGGGGTATGCGTTCAGATTCCTGTACTCTACTGGTAAACTCTCGGAAGCTCGACAGAATTGTTTGCCTCGGGCATTAAGATTGACAGATAGACGGAAACACGTAATGCTGTGGAGCGATAAATAATCAATTGCTTCGGACGGGACCTGTTGGTGTGGACCTAATCCGTATCTTATCAGCTGCAACCTAATATTCATCCATATAGATTAATAATGGAGTTTCTCGGACAACTGTGATATGAAAAACATAAGTGGAGAATATTTTCACGACTACTGCATATCACCGCGAATATCGGGTTTCTCAGAGTAGTACGACGCCACTCTACGTAAAACGGGTCGTGAAACTTGAATGTGTGTATTGTGAATTGGGCATAACATTTAAGCATTGTTTGTAAATTGGTTGTGTTCTAGTCTGCGAAGGAATCGCTTCTTTTCAGTCGTTGATTGCCACTAGAGCGGCTAAGTTGGAATACAAGTATGGCACGGTTGAACGAGGCAAGACGATATTTGAATCCTTATTGGCAGTAAGGATATTCCTAGGGAATCTTGGGAAATCATTAGAGCTTTTTTAGTCTCAACCGAAACGGCTTGATATTTGGTCGGTGTATTTGGATGAACACATCAATGCTAATAAGGAAGATGCAGACCAGGTGCGGTCGGTGTTCGACCGGGCGGTTACACTGAAGTGAGTGCAGCTTCTTATTAGTTTCCGGAGTTTCCGAGTTTCAGGTTGAAGCCAGCGAAAATGAAGTTCTTCTTCAAACGTTGGGTTAACTTCGAGCAGTCCTATGGCGATGTAGATCATCTCGATTTGGTGAAGGATAAAGCTCGAGAGTGAGTTGATCGGGTCGTCGTCTTCTCGGAGATTGATTGTGATGGCATCTCGAATCGAATTGAAATCGAATCTAAGAAATTAGATGGTTACTTTCCGCTCGGGGTGATTTTAAACCTGTTGTAGGTACGTTATGGCTCTCGAGAAAAGCCGCCGAGCTGATGATATTGGGGAGGAAGGGGAAGAATGAGTTACTGACTTTCGCCTCACTTAGCCTTATCACGTAAAACTACCACTACCAACGTACGTTATCTATTCTGTTTCTACTCGTCTATGTGTTTTTTGAGTTCCGATAGCGCTGTATTGGAGTGCGTCAGCGGAATGATGTGATATGTTTCCGCGAGGGAATTGTAGTTTAGATTTTCTTACTAGTAGATTTCGAGGGAGCGGGTCTCAGTGCTGCTGATGCTCTTTTGTTGGAAACAAATCGTGCAGATCCTCCTTCTCCTGCAATAATCACCGCCGCGATATGGGTTTGATGAAATAGCTCAACAGGGGTTGTTGACAAGAGACTTCAAACTTCCGCAAATCCAAGAATATCACGAAATGATCGGAAGACCTTGTGTATGATGACACTATATATGACGATTGCTGTATTGCTCGCATTGCTTATATATTTATGCCATCATCGCTGGGCATGATATCCTCAAGAGTATTTGAAACCGTCGACCCTAATTATTAGGGCCTGATTATTAATTGGCGACATAACATGACGATATTCAGGGCCGCTAACCTTCTTGGAAGAGAAGAGGGATGTGAGGCTTCCTCTGATGTATTCAACACGCCACAACTTTATCCCTTATAGGTGTACCAAGCTGGCCATTTCGTACCCATCGATCGACCAACCAAAAGTGCCTCAATTCATGATCAACGATTTCATCGATGGTACTCTCGGACCATTGCCTAGGAGAGCCGTTATGAGCGGAGGCAGTGCGGAGCTCTGACTGATAGTCCTCAACCCCCGAGGCGGTGTGTTTCGGCTAACAACCGCAACTGAGGTCCATCTGTGTGTAGTACACACTGTGTACCAAGTAACTATCCTATATCGGCAATGAGAAACCCTTCTTATAATGTCTTAGATGTTATCAGATAGGCGCAACCCATGATTTTTTTTTCGAGGATTGCTATAGCTTTTCTTTTCATCTAAGTATTTTTAAAAGCCACATTTTGCGAAATTTTCTTTCTCATTTTTTCTCTATCATCTCACACTTGAGGCTCGAAATGTGTTGAATTCGAAGTAATAATGCAGCAGAACGTCTGCTGCATCCTCAATCATGAGCCCTCGTTGGCTTCATGATTTCATTTCCGAGTCTTTTCACACCACAAGCTCTCAAACGACCTGCCTTTTCTAACAGGATGTCAGGAAAAGCGTTGGGGGAACTCGCTGTCTCTCTCCAGGAGAGTTTCCTGGATTACCTCAGCGACGCGGAAACTGCGAGGTCCGCGAAGTAGACGTCCTCATCATGACTCATCATGAGTCACTCATGAGGATGACATAACTGTAGCTTACTATCATGTCGTCCGGAGTCTCCTAGCGGCAGAGAGTGGCTACTCTCAGTTGTGAGGATTTTCAAGCCGTAGCAATTTGCTACAGGCAAGTATATCGGACCCCTCGAAGCAAGGCGTTAATGCTGATATATTGGTGGGTATATCCGACTTTCTGAGAGTTAGCAAGCTTCTCGCCTTCACGGTGGCAGATGTGACGCTAGTGAACTAGGTTTATCCATCAGGAGTAGCTGCGAGAGCAGCGATATTCATTGCGTGATCGATGACTCTCCAGCTTGGCCAAGAGTAGCACGATCGCGATCGGCTGTTGCAGCAACAGCAACAGTGTAACACTGTCAGTGTTGCTGCCGCGTACCAAGGGATCCCGTTCCCCCGACTTTTCACTGACTAGTGGAATGGGCAGAGGAGAGGCCAACAGACGGAAGAGTGATCCCACTCGACCGGAAGGTGCTCACGGATCGGGTCATGACAGTGATCGGAAGGATACTAAGTGGTAGAGTACCGACTACTACCGGTACTACCGAGTAATAATCGAATATCCACGCATAGCCTGAGTTGTTACGGCTTAGCCGTACCGGCGCACAATTGCTCCTCGAGTCGAGAACCTTGACCAATGCGTGGATGAAGGCAAAGTCGCAGAGATGGGTCGGTGGAAGTCGATGAGAACTCGGACAGCGAAGTGAATCACCCTGAGTGATTTGACTTGCACTATGTTCGAGAGGCCAGAACCTACATGTGACTTACCGATGGAGCCACTAATTACTTTTTCGGCATCAGAGAGGCTGGTGGGCAGGCCTGAACCTGCGGAGCGACCAGAGGGGTTATCCAAGAAGAAGCAGAGATCCGCGAGCCCATTCGGCCATGCAAGAATGAAGTGGGGTAGTGACTAACCTACTTATACTGGTCATATTTCTCCATTAATCATGAAGTTTTTGGATCATTTCTTAGAGAAATTGGACCGTTTTGTTGCGTTGCTTGAGAAAGTTGCACGGTTCTGGGTGATGATTTTCTCGTTCGCCTTCAGATATCAGTAACGGTTCCGAATATTACAGTTTCATCCAAGTATATAATAGCTGATCGTTATATCTATGCTCTGCTGAAGTTTCAGCTCAAAACTATCTTCGTTAACGAGAAACACAGATTTTTCGATTCTCAGGTTACAGAGAAACGTCAAGTCTCGAATACCCCTCTCCCGCTCTCCTGACAGAAGACTCCTCGGCAAAGGCGGCTCCAGTAAGGAATCCCGATGAGTTTTACCTCTGGTTTAATTAGAGATCTTAAGTTAGGTTGGAGACTTCTCGCTGGATCGTATACCGATTAAGTATACCCCTCGACTCACTCCTAACCGACTTGCTAGACGCCGAGATCAGGGTGAGTCACAGTGTAACTTAAGACTCTCAAGTTATGCACAGTTGACTTACACAGCTATACAATAGCAGCTATACAATAGCTATTGAATACCTAGACAATCCACTGTCCACCAAGGTTAAACTTGGCTCAGTCGTTCAACATGAGTGATATATATTCTACTGCCGTCTTATTTGGTTATTAATCGCAACTACGGACGGTTCGCGCTCGACGGCAGCTCTGTGGCCCACATTGAGATAGGATATCGTCGATTCATCAGTCTAACTCTCTTGTATAATCTTCTCGGTTTTTTTGAACTCAGCTCCTCGGTAAGGTTCTTCTGTATGTCGGAGATCAATATTACGTATGTAATTGAATTGGTTATGAGCATGTCGTGGATGCGATGGATTAGTCAGGCCGTGCTGCATCCCTCAGAGCTCCGCGTTATGAATATGGCGTAGGTGTGTACGCTGCTGACCGAAGGATTCGATGCAAATTTGAGATTTCTCTGCTAACAATCTTACGAGTCCTAGGCCGTTGGAGATTCGTCCTCCAGAAACGTTTCGGCATCCCTGTTGGTTCCCCCCTGCAGTATCAGTTGGGAGAATTTTCCCCGAGAAAAAAGGAATGTGAGGCTTCTTCCAGTAGGATAATATCCTAGGATATATTCAACATGCCACAACACCACCCCTATAGGTATACCAAGCTGGCCATTTCGAGTGCAACGTCATCATGATTGTGAAGCATTGATTGAGGATGCGGTAGACATTCTGCCGCATTCTCAATGAGGGCCCTTCATCGAACCAAGTTCGCAGGGGTGCCTCAAGGGCCTTAGACTATGGCATCATATTATTACTTTGAATTCAACAAATTACAGGTCTCGTACGTGAAATGATGGGGAAAATGGATGAGAAGTAGTTTTCCGTGAAATGTAGCCTTTGAAAATAATTACATGTAAAGAGAGACGAGAGATACTATCTCTGAGATATTTCTTCTTGAAAAAATTCGCGAGTTCCGCCGATCTAGAAACGTCAAAGACATCGACTTAGCTGTATAAGAAGGGTTTCTCACAGCCGATATAGGATAGTTACTTGGTACACACAGATGGACCAGTACTCAAGTGCGCGTGAAACCCGAACAATGTTCGGCGAACATACTGCCGTGGCAGTTGAGGACTATTAGTTTGCTACAGCTCAGGGCTGCCTTCGCTCATCACGGCTCTACTAGAAGATCGTCCGAGAGTACCATCGAGAAAGTCGCTGATCATGAGATGAGCTGCTTCTGGTTGATCGATGGGTACGAAATGTCCAGCTCGGTATATCTATGTGGGAAATGCTCTGGCATGTGAAATACATCCTACTTGGAAGAAGCCGAACATTCCCTTTTTTTTCCAACTGATGCTGCGGAGTAAACCAATAGATGTACCATCGTCATCCTAAAAAGACAGATCTCTCTAACAACAAGGAACCGAAAGATGGAGAGCTAAGAGATATGCAGCGGATACTTCAGTGAGCAGTGTACATGCCTACCTCATATTCATAACGGGGAGCTTCGAGAAATGCATCACGCCCTGGCCAATCCATCGCATCCGCCACATGCTCATAACCAATCCAGTTACATATGTAATCTTGATCTCCGGCATACAAAAGAACCTTACTGAGGAGCTCAGTCGAAATCAAATGAACCTCCACAAAGTAGAAACTACTCAATGGAGTAAGCTTTTCCGACAGGGAAGAGTAACCTTTCAGGAATATTACAATATTACAATAGCTCCGATGCACGAGTTGGACTAACTCAATCCCGGCAACCAAGCGACGGCCAAGCGCAATAGTCTATGTCTAACTTGAGACTTGAGTTCCACTGTAACTCACCTTGATCTCAGCGTCTAACAAGTCGGGCAGAAGTGTGTCAAAGGGTGCTAGGCGGTCCATTGAGAACTTCCCAACCTAATTTGAGATCTCCAATTGAATCAGGAGCAAGACTCAGAGAAGTCTCTCACGTATAACGAGCAATCTTTGAATTTCTTGTCGACTCCGAGTTTCTTTTGTATGTCTTTCCTGTTGAGATAAATCTCATACTGAAGAAAGATACATGGAATCTCAGCTTATATGAATTCAGCAACGCCGAAAGAGCTGTGCCCCAGGCCATACGACTAGTAACCCACCGGTTCACGTCCATGTGAAAGGGTTCTTTTTTTCCTCATATCATATCTGAGATGCGGCGGGATGGTCACGACCGAGCCAGCATTATCCGAGTATTTGTATTATAATTTGCTCAAGTTATGACGTACATATCGACATTAACTGCAGTGGAAGCGTCAATGCGGCAGGTTGCAGCATCGTCGCAAATCGGATCTGTAAAAGACATAGGAGTATGTTCCCCTTCCCATGCATATAGATCGAATGAATATGGGTTTCGAGGAATGCAATGAGTATGTAACTACTAGCCAACCCTCTCAAAAAGGACCTGAGACGTTTCTGGTCTTCAAGCAGCGAGGTATACTTGTCACGCACTCATGAACGGCTCTACTCATCTTCACATACCTACCGAAAATTATCCACGACGAACTGTGTATTAATGTCGTACTCATAGTACGTTACGACGCGTGGAGCAGTACAGCTGTGAAAGGCCATCGCTGGGTAGTCGAGGACTCTGGGAGAAGTAGAATGATCTCATGACGTCCCCATTGCAGAAGCATACTGGATTGCGGCATTCATCCATCCATTCCCGATTGCCAGTCCACGAAGGTTGATATGAGGCTCGATCCCTTTAGTGTTCTCACGCCATATTTTATGAGCTATGGCAGGTATGTAGTGACCTGAGTAGTTAGGATGATATTCCGGTAATCTGTCACGGTTACCAGCATATGACTCCCCGGTGATGTAGAAATCTTTGCCTCCATACTGGGTATATTCAGCGAAGAATTCCTGTAGGGCCATGTACCTTCCAACGTAGTTTTGCATACATATTAATGACTCCATATCATTGATACGATAAGCATCTATCTAAGTCCTACAAGTCGTCGGCAGCTTCAAATGAGCCATTGTTTACGAACGGCCCGACCGAGAATCCTGTTCCTGCAGGTTGGTCGACATAAAGAAGGATGGCTCGTGTGTTCCAAGAGTATCTGACAGTCAACCTATTCTCATCAGGAAAGTCAGTGAGAGGTGCTCCTCACGGGTTAGTTTTGGTGTCATTTCCATATTCATTTACCCTGCAAGGTCCGTTTTCTGTGAAGAGTCCTGACATGCTGCTGCAGCCAGGCCCCCCTTGGAGCCAGAGAACGAGAGGATCTTGGGCTGGGTCGGAGCGAGATTCGAAGAACCAAAAGAATAGCCTAATACGACTCCTCGTGTGTGGTAATGGCGATCGAGAAACGATCACCTCCTTCCAGAACTGCCACTAAAATAACCGTGTACTTGCTTAACACTCGGATCGCAAAGAGCGCTGTCGCGGCCCAGGAAAGATGTGCTGCTCATTTCGTTCTGCTGAAGTTCGGTCTGGAGCGACTTGATTTTCTTTGATGTGACTGAGCAGAACCGAAGGGAGTGGCAGCCCACAGATGAAACCGATCACAGTCACGTTCCGTCGACCGGGGATCATAAGGAATCATTCGACCGCCAGCCCAGGCAATCAGAGATAGCAGGATGACGATGGAGCCGACGTAAGGCATCGATGATTGAATATGGGATATGATGATGCTGAACAGGGGAATGTGGCACGGGTAGATTGTTGGGCTGACTGAGGCCTTATCATTTGGCACAGCATAGCCTGCTGAGCTACGACTCCTCGCTATCAATGAGCCACGCTAATGTAGAACTAAGGACAGCGCTACTCTGTTGAGTTCCTGGTCGATTCGAGAAAAGGATTCTCCGAGAAGATGGCTCTTTTCTGCATCTTGTGCAAGCGTGCGTGGCTAATTCGAAGGAGCTCGTGCGCGTTAAACCCATCGTCTACTTCGTCACCCGCGTATTCCGCTGGTCAAAGGCCCTCTAGTACAGACCACTCGTAAACATTGCCATCGGATCGTCGACCTTATGCTTTAGCCCAGGTTCTATGCTGCTATTTGTTGTCCAACGAGAAGCAACCTCAAATTTTCGATACTTTCGCGATTCTGTCTAACTATCGGGAGATAAGATAGACAGAGAGGAGAGGATATCTTCTTTCTTCCACCGCGCACCCTGGTCAACCACCATTGCTTGTTCCAACCGACTCTCACGTTCTCTCTCCCTCATTACTGGTGATCCATCAACGAATGGAGGGAACCTACCATTTTAGTTTGTGTTATGCACCATATGGCGATAATGCTGCTACATGATATGGCTCGTATCGTCTACTAGCGTGCACTAGTCGCACTTGACGGGTTAT